TTTAAACGATTTAAATTTTTCAAAAAATTTAAATTGAATTCAAATGTTAAAACAAGGACTATTTCTATATCTTGAAAGATGGAGAACATCATATAATGTGTTTTGAAATCTCTCAAAGGTCAAATAGAGTGAAATTTAAACGATTTAAATTTTTCAAAAAATTTAAATTGAATCCAAACGTTAAAACAAGGACTATCTCTGTATTTTGAAAGATGGAGAACATCATAAGATGTGTTTTGAAATCTCTCAAAGGTCAAATAGAGTGAAATTTAAACGATTTAAATTTTTCAAAAAATTTTAATTGAATCCAAACGTTAAAACAAGGACTATCTCTGTATTTTGAAAGATGGAGAACATCATAAGATGTGTTTTGAAATCTCTCAAAGGTCAAATAGAGTGAAATTTAAACGATTTAAATTTTTCAAAAAATTTAAATTGAATCCAAACGTTAAAAGAAGGACCATCTCTGTATTTTGAAAGATGGAGAACATCATAAAATGTGTTTTGAAATCTCTCAAAGGTCAAATAGACTGAGATTTAAATGATTTAAATTTTTCAAAAAATTTAAATTGAATCCAAACGTTAAAACAAGGACTATCTCTGTATTTTGAAAGATGGAGAACATCATACAATGTGTTTTAAAATCTCTCAAAGGTCAAATAGGGTGAAATTTAAACATTTTAAAATTTTCAAAAAATTTAAATTGCTTCCACAAACATAAAAAACGCAACAAATGATTTTCTCTTCCTTCAAAATTTGTCAGATGACTTTTGTTTAATATTTCAGTGCAATTTAAATTTTTTGAAAAAATTAAATCGTTTAAATCTCACTCTAATTGACCTTTGAGAAGTTTTAAAACACATTGTATGATGTTCTCCATCTTTCAAAATACAGAGATAGTCCTTGTTTTAACATTTGGATTTAATTTAAATTTTTTGAAAAATTTAAATCGTTTAAATCTCACTCAATTTGAACTTTGAAAGATTTCAAAACACATTGTATGATATTCTCCATCTTTCAAAATACAGAAATAGTCCTTGTTTTAACATTTGGATTTAATTTAAATTTTTTTAAAAATTTAAATCGTTTAAATCTCACTCTATTTGACCTTTAATAGATTTCAAAACATATTGTATGATGTTCTTCAACTTTCAAAATACAGAGATAGTCCTTGTTTTAATGTTTGGTTTTAATTTAAATTTTTTGAAAAATTTAAATCGTTTAAATTTCACTCTATTTGACCTTTGAAAGATTTTAAAACACATTGTATGATGTTCTCCATCTTCCTAAATACAGAGATAGTCCTTGTTTTAACATTTGGATTTAATTTAATTTTTTTGAAAAATTTAAATCGTTTAAATAACACACTATTTAACCTTTGAGTGATTTCAAAACACATTGTATGATGTTCTCCATCTTTCAAAATACAGAGATAGTCCTTGTTTTAACATTTGGAAGCAATTTAAATTTTTTGAAAAATTTAAATCGTTTAAATTTCACTCTATTTGACCTTTGAGTGATTTCAAAACACATTGTATGATATTCTCCATCTTTCAAAATACAGATATAGTCCTTGTTTTTACATTTGGAAACAAATTGAATTTTTTGAAAATTTTAAATTTTTTGAATCTCACTCTATTTGAACTTTGAAAGATTTCAAAACACATTGTATGATATTCTCCATCTTTCAAAATACAGAAATAGTCCTTGTTTTAACGTTTGGAAGCAATTTAAATTTTTTGAAAAATTTAAATCGTTTAAATTTCACTCTATTTGACCTTTGAGAGATTTCAAAACATATTGTATGATGTTTTTCACCTTTCAAAATACAGAGATAGTCCTTGTTTTAATGGTTGGTTTCAATTTAAATTTTTTGAAAAATTTAAATCGTTTAAATTTCACTCTATTTGACCTTTGAAAGATTTCAAAACAAATTATGTGATGTTCTCCATCTTCCAAAATACAGAGATAGTCCTTGTTTTAACAATTGGATTTAATTTAAATTTTTTTAAAAATTTAAATCGTTTAAATCTCACTCTATTTGACCTTTAATAGATTTCAAAACACATTTTATGATGTTCTCCATCTTCCAAAATACAGAGATAGTCCTTGTTTTAACATTTGGATTTAATTTAAACTTTTTGAAAAATTTAAATCGTTTAAATTTCACTCTATTTAACCTTTGAGTGATTTCAAAACACATTGTATGATGTTCTCCGTCTTTCAAAATACAGAGATAGTCCTTGTTTCAATCAAAATGACACCTCATCGAAATGGGACGGAAGACCCACTCGTTGCTCGCAACGAGATCGGATCTAGTTTATTATAATTATTATCAGAACACAGTATTCAATTATATATATAACTAAGAGCTATTTAGCAAATGTCTAGCCTCAATTCTTGTTTCTCTTTTCAAAAGGGGGAGGGGTAATCTGAAAAACAAAGGCCCATGGGCCACAATGTTCACCTGAGTCACTTTGGCTAAGCCATCAGATTTCCCCCCCCCCCCCAAAAAAATACATGTATTCACCTGTATTTTTGATCATCTTTTGGCCCCACCCTATACACAGGGGCCATGTTTTGAACAAGAATGAATATACACTTCCAAAGGATGCTTCCGCTTCAATATGATTCATCATGGATTTGCTACTGAGGAATTTAAAGATATTTCCTATATAATTCAAATTTAAAACTTTGATTATCTATTGTGACCTCGGGGAGCCATGATTTGAAGAATTTAGAAACTACACTACCTAAGAAAGCTTTTGCATAAGTTTCATCTTTTCAAGCCCTGTGGTTCTTCAGAAGAAGATTTTTAATGACCCTTCCCTCTTGTTGCCCTTTCTTGATTATCTCCCCTTAGAAGGAAGCTTGGTCCTTTATTTTAGCAATTTAGAATCTCCTTTACCAAAGAAAAGGATGCTTTGTACCAACTTTGGTTAAAATTGGCCCAGTTTACAGATGGATGGACAGACAGATAGATGGACTATGGAAAATGGGTGTTTAGAAAAGTTACTTGAGCTTTCAGCTCAGGTGAACTGATGAAAAAGAATTTTCAAGCAAAGAAAAAAAAAGGTATAATAGGGTGTTAGGATTGTTTTACATACCTGCTTAGAATTTCTAGCTCCCTTGAGAGATTTGAATAGTCTAAGAATACTTATCTAAGTCACTTTAGCCTTTTGTATAACAGATTGGGAAAAGTCAAATACATCTCTGTGATTATTAAATTTTGATATTGTCAAATTGAATGTACTCTTTTGCTTTCAGACACATAATTTTATGACATATTAAAATTATTTAAAGGATGGATCCAATAACTGCTCCCTATTCTCAAATTGTCAGAGTGTCCTGGGCACTTAATGGGACAAATACGTGATTTATTAAAAAATAATTAAAAAGTTCAATATCTCTTTTCCCCACTTAAAAATGATGAATGATAAAAAAAAGTTTTCACTTCAGAAGAAAGACCAGGAATTTCCTGTTGTTAAATGAAGCCGATAGAGATACACAATGACAAGGAAACACACTTTATGATGTGGCATGATATCACCTCACTCGGTTATTGTATACAGCATGTAAAGGCGTTAAATACTCTTACATGTAAATTACTAAATACAGTTCACTTTTCTGATTCTCCCTACACTTGAATAAATGAAAATATTCGCAAACCATTCATTTTCACAGTCGCACACAAGTATTAAAAACTATGTTTTTAAGCAAAATTTTATTAAGTATCTGTATCAGTTGTGTTGTCTTCTATCAGCTTATACTAAGGCAAGCAAGTTGTCATTATTTCCACTATCCAAGTATGACATAATTTGATTCCAAATGTGTACTACATACGTTTGTATTGATATACCAATACATCAGTATTACTCAAAAAAATTGTACCGTATCATGTTACAAAACGTTTCAACCCATATATACCTATGTATCATGATTTAATAACTCTTTAAGCAATCTAACATGTCTAATGTGTTATTTCATTTCAGTTATATCTGTTTTACTTGATAAAAGTGAATTTTTCAATTTTTATTTTGTTCTGAACTTATAAAATGTTGCATAAATTAAGGTATTTGTGATCCTGATGAAATTATTTGCAACTTTTATCCTTTTACATTGCAAAAGAAAGTTACAAAGACAAACAAACTTTATTAAAAATATGAAATGTGAAATTACATCATGATCAATATGAATCATGATACATGCCAATGTATCATGATAAATCATGATATGCTCTAGATGAATCATTATACCCCTAGTACTACATAATTACATTATTGACATTAAGCTACAGTTAATCAGAAATATTGTTCACTTGGACGCCTTTCTGAAAATGGCGACCATTTTCGTAAAATCAACGTTGACTCTAAATTTGCTGCTATGTCAACATATACATATTACATGAACAAGAGACTTCTTATCAAAACCAAAAAATTACATATTGATCAAACCTACTTTAAAAGCCTGCATGGATATGTATATAAATTATTTCAGTGTATTTTGAGAAGATGTCTAGATTTGATTATGCAAAAAGTGATGACTTTGAAAACTGCGGTGCTGTAAATATAATAGTGAATATATTTAATACATTTTTAAAAATTTTCCTCAATAATGTGAATCAATAGTTTTTAATATCTTTCATAGCGCTGACTTAACTTTCATTAATTAAAAGAAAATACCAATTCCTTCATTTTGAACTGAATTTGATATTAAGGCAGTGAACTTGTAAATTTCTTCAATTTTTATTTCTTCATAATTTCCAATTATTTACCACCCTTAAAAAACATAAACAAAGTCGGTTACCATGCAAGTAGTGAAATTTTATTCTACTTCTATAATCCAAGTATTTCCCAATACACATTATTTATAATTAAATCTTTAAAAAGCAGATATTTCCCGTATTTTCATCCAGGTTTCAACAATAGAATTGGCACGTCTGTAACTGATATAGATAGATTCTGGTAAATATTAACAATCACCTATATCGATCTATATACCTTGTTCTGTAGAACCGACGGACAAGCGACCTTCGCCACTCATTGTAAATGTTCCTTTGATATTCTTCTTCCGAAGCCACGTGTGGGACAGAGGGCTCGTGCACAGCACACCTCGCCTCTGCCATCGATACCCTTAAAAAATAAACAACACGTCTTCAACGATGGCTCTGTGTTTTTCAAAGATCTCAACGACTAGGCTTTGTGTCGTCCGTCTGTTTATGCTGAAGAAAGTGTTAAATCTAGGATCGCCCTGAAATTATAAAGAAAACGAAAATCTGGCTATTATTAAAAAAAAATAATATATATGATTGTCATATCGAGTTTTTATGGCAAATAATTTTTAATTTGTGTATTTAGGGTCTTTGACTGGTTTCAAATATATTTTCAAAGAATTAAATACAAAATTTAAAAGGTAAGTATTTTCGTTTTGGGAATATTTAATTCTCTAAAATTAAAATTTACATGCTACGTCTTGGTCTTTTGAAATCTTGTCCATCATGAGATTAATTTGTGTCTCGGTGACATGCGTCTATATTACGTAGAATAAAAAGATTACCCTCCATCCAATTTTTGCAAAAGCCAAATATCTGCTAACTGGTAATTCCTGTTACAACAAAGAACATTCTTAAGAAATATTTTGCCAGATTCTACTAATGCGTCTGAGAATCACGTGATAGAAGCATCAATGGAGGCCTGATTGGACGCACCTAACAGCTTAAAGCCCCAGTCCCTGGTCAGGCTGTTGTGACCATCCTGAAGATAAACAGCAATAAAATTGTTTACAGCATTTAAAGGAAAGAAAAAAAGGTATGTGGATTGAGTGCTGACAAACATTTTTACAAGGTCTGTATTGCATTTTGCAAAATAAGATGAAAGTACTTTAACTGCATGGGGGGGTAGTTAGAATAATCTAACTGTGTCTCGGGACAAGCCCTCACCACAGTTAGAATACGTCCCATATACTTGCAATGTAGCAAATCGGAGTGGATCCACTCCGAAATGATTTTGAAGAATACAAAAGGAGTTGCACTGAAAATAACAACCAAGTTAATCATAACAAACCTTTTTGAGATTGTATATGCCTTTTAACCTAAAAAATAATCCATAAAAATACGAAAATTCAACTCATTTACTCAACATTTTTTCCTCGCTTCAAATTTAACGCCATGTTGACATTAGCAGGTCCAGCACAATCTCTTGATTTAGCTGTATAGCTTGAAATAGCTATATAGCTTTATTAAGCTATTCAAAATAGCTTGATAAAGCTATTTATGTGCAGTTTTTCAGAAAAATGTTTTTTGCCAGAAAAAGACAAAAAGTCGCAAGTATTTGGCTATTCATATATGTACTATGGACTATCAAAACAACAACCAAAATCAAAGAAAGTTTTAACATTGCAGCATTTGAATACTTTTAAGCAAAAGATGTATTTCCATTGTTTGAGTAACTGTACACTACCTTGTGTGCGTTGAGGCGTGGATAAGTATGATTGCTTCTCATTGTACTGAATTATTACCAATCAATTATCTTGTTGACCATAATTGGCCTCCTTTATAATTTCATTGCAGAAGTAACTGTATCAATTGCTTTACATAGCCCCAAAACTTTTAGAACTTTGAGTACAAAGTCTCTTAAGGAGACGCAATTTGATGAGTGATTTTTACATGCATTATTTTCAGAAGAGTTCAAGGTTGAATATTATCACTGCACCAAGGTGCGACTTTTTGTGCATGCTGAGAAAATAACACATTTAAGAAAAAAGTGTGATAAAATAGCTAAATCAAGCTATTCTGAATAGCTTAATAAAGCTATATAGCTAAATCAAGCTATATAGCTAAATCAAGAGATTGTGCCCGACCTGATTAGGAACTCTCTGGATTGTTCATAGAAAATGCACAGAGTTCGAGTTATCGCCCGTGTTTATTTTGCTACATTGCCAATACATGAATCGAATTCTATCATTAAACCGGGTCCGTAGGACAATATCATTTTAACGATAGAACGTTCTATCTACATGGGGGGTTGGGGTGTATTTGCAGAGTGGAGTGGAGTCATGGAGTGGGGTGACTGGGGTCTGTACTGTAACAGTACAGTTTTACAGAATGGATTCCTTTCATTGTACACAATTCTCCCCCTTGAGACATGAGAGTGAAATATTTAACTACTAGTTAAATATATTGACGGTGCGACTGTTAGGGCGAGCACAGATACCTATATTCAGTTTTAATTTAGACCGGGCTCTTCAAACCACATGTGACATTTAGTATGTCTAGATTGAGGTCACATGACGTTGCTTGTAAGTTGCATTACCAAAACAAAGTCTGAACAGTGCTAATTTTAATAAAGAAGGTTTAATCTACTATTTATCTGCTATATATCCATCAAATCAAGGTGAGTTTATATTTTTCTTGGAACTTCTTGTTACCACAAGGATGTTGTTTGCGGCGAGATGCAATTCGCAAAGCATTATGGGACCATAGGTTACTGCGGAAAAAAATTCATTTAGATCAATGTGCACAGTCCGAATTTTCTTTTCTCCCAGACGTTGCTTTAAGAGCTCGCAGTGACGAGTGGCGTTTCGCTGCGCTCGCTATTAAACATATTTTGATATGTTGATGGTACGACTGTTAGAGCAAGTGCAGATACATTTTATTGAATACCGATTCAGTTTTTAACTTATATCTGCTAATCGTAGCTACTTGCCCATTTATCATTCACAGAAATGTCAGAGTAGTTCTAATTGTTTGATCCGCCTCTGCACACCACACCACCAAAACATTTGGAGACTCTTCTAGACTCTGACTTCACATATGTTATCGTATGTTATTTGCAATACTATAATGATCGAAATCTGAGAAGTGCAAATTTTTTTCAAAGAACATTTAAGCTAATATTTATCTGCAGTATCCATTAAGTTGAGGTTAGTTACTTTTGTTGAACATTATGGTGAGAAGGTGGTTAGCAGCGAGATGCATTTGCATTGCATTTTGGGTTTCTAGGTTACTGCAGAAAAAATTCATTTGGATCAATGTGCACAGTCAGAATTTTCTTTTGGATCAATGTGCAAAGTCAGAATTTTCTTTTCTCCCAGTCATCGCTTTAAGAGCTTGCAGCATCGAGCGGCGCTATTATTATGTAGATAATATGTCTGATGGTGAAAATATTGAGGCAAGCACAGTTTCATTCACTGTAGTAACATGGTGCAAAAAAAGCACTTGTCAAGGACGAGAGAAAATTGGCTGAAACCTAGTGGATGTCTCGGTGATGAGTAAAACTTTTGCTGTGATAAAAAAAAAACTTCTAAAATCCAAGTATAAATTCTATTTTTTATTTCTATACAACCAAATCTATACTGTTTGCCTCTGCTAAAAAGAATCCATTTGCTATAAGCAGTCAGTTTCTTCTATCCAGAAGTCTTATATAGCTTGAATAATTGAGCAAAACTGCCAAGGTTGTAAGAACTCTGACAGTGTAAGCAGCTGACTTTGCTCATTCTCTGCACTTGTTATAATGGATAATATATATAATGTATGTTAATTAAAGAACTAACCCAAATAGCTAATTAAATCTGTAAGTGGATGTACAGAAATTATTAATTCATAGACCAGATTTTACTTTGAGGTACTGCCAAAAATCTTAAGGAATTGGAAATGTGTAGATATATCATGCTTTAGTGGAGCCTATACTTGGGAGGATCCTTATTTATAACTGATTTTTTTTAATGTTTTCTTAGAAAATGGTGAAGAGGAGTGGACGGAGCTCTTCCACGAGTCTGCGGAACAGCGGAGGGATGCCGCTCCTGTTGATGATGGAGTGCTGGGACGAAAGCCTCAGTCAGACTCAGATAGCAGCATATAAAGAAAAAGTACTGGAATGTCAAAGGGCACAGGAAAAGGTCAGAGGGCACTGTGTTAAAAATAATCAAATCAAAGAAAAAAGCAAGATCTATAAATGTTCACTTGTCTCTCATCAGTTCTAACTTTTCTCACTTTACGTACTTTGTAATAAAGTTCATGGAGCATATAGGTCCTGGTTTTTTAGTCTTTATATAGGCATTCAATTTAATTTCTTTTTAGCTCTTTTAATATTTTATGATTTGTAAGGAAATTCTTAAGCTTACAGAGGCACTGCCACAGTTTAATTTCTTATTTTTATAGGTAAGAGAGGCTCATCGCTTGGCTCAGCTTGGTAAAGCTATTGTCACTGTCCTCGATGATCCAAGGAAACGAGTCCCTCCCCCCACCCTACAGCAACTCCGCCCTGACCTGATAAAGGAAGCCCAGGCACCAAGATCTCAACCACAAGGTACATAAAAAGATCACATGTGAATGCTGACATTATACAGGGGGCCCAGGCACCATGATCTCAATCACAAGGTACATGAAAAGATTGCATGTGAACCTTGACATGATACATGGGACCGGGGCACCAAGATCTCAATCTTAAGGTACATAAAAAGAGAAAGAGATCAGATGCATAAAGCCTTGGGGTAACCAGATATTTTGGTCAGATTTCAACATTATGATATCATAAAGAATTTCTCTAGCTTAATGTGTGATAGTGGAGTAAATGTTACTGTATGCCCTCTAGCTGGAGATACATCATAATTTCCCCAAATCCACAGAAATCTTCACTGTACATGTAGCAGAATACAAGGTACTGGACAATCACGTTTTCATCAGGTAAAATTTTCATGGATTGAGGAAAAACTATGGGTTTGTGGGGATTTGATTTTAGGAATGAAATATTGTGGAGTAGTTATGCATATGACATTTTACATTTCGTGGTGGATATTAATATGTGGGTCTCTTCGTACCTGGAAAACAATGAAAATTAAATTAAAAATTAAATTAAAATAGTGATTTCATAGTTTTTGACATTTTCAGAGCCCCAGAGGCCCACTAGCCCTGATATTATCTTTATTGGAGAGAGCCCACCTGTACAGAAGACACCACCCACACCACCCACCCAGGCAGCTCAAGCCCGGGCACCACTCAGTCATACCCCCGCGGTCCCTCGACAAATTGTACAGACACTTCAGATGCCTGGTATTCAGGTAAGGCAAAAATCACAAGAAAACTACAAACCTTGTTACCTCAAACTTGATGGGGTGGAGAAAAAAACCAAGACATCCAGGGAAACAAGATACTGAGTTTAAAATACATACAGAAAAAAGTGGTTGGGACTTCCCACTTACTTTGTCTTTCTTAGGGGTAGGACATTT